ATAGATAACCCCGCAGGATGAACTCTGAATAGCTGCCTCTTTCCTCTTTTGGTAACAACCACTTAGCAACCGCACACCGCCGCGTTTCCCCCTGGGCCATGCCTCATATCTGGACGAAATTGATGAGTTCTAAAGATGAGATTAAGAGAGAGGATTGGGCGTAAATAGTGGGGCCACAGATCTCTAGTAGGAAGGTTGGGCTGTGGTGGGTGGCGGCACGGTGCTGAGATGAGACGGACGATTCCCACGCTGCATAGCTGCTTCACAGTGCCCCCTTGTCTCCACGCTCTGGGACGCCCTTCAACGCCACAAAAATCACCTCGCGACACCTACCATGTCTGTTTGAAACTCTCTTTTAATATATCTAAGACCCATATGCAGACCTTATGGTACAGTAGGTTGCCGCCGTGTTTGGGGTTGTTGAGGTGTGAATGTGTACCTGATAGCGAGGGGCCAGAATTGTTTCTGGTAATCCCTGGATAAGACAAAAACCAGACGAGTGGCAACATGTGGCCGTGGTGTCAACACGAGGTAGAGGTGGTGGTGACACCTTGTGGGGAAGGTTGCACCAATTGCAGTGTCTCGGAACACAGCCACCTTAAGGTGACATCGGTCAGAGATGGTGGCAGCATCATCTATGGATGACGGGGTTAATTTGGCAACAGCTTCACTTTAGGGTGACATTAAACGCAAGCGTAAATTTGGCTAAATGTGAATTGTTGCTGGTCTAAATCTTTATCGGTATGTATACCCATTACGTTGGTTAGTTTCTCCCCATCCAGCACAACTGTTTCCACCTAACCGACACATAATTATGATCCATGTAAAACATTTCGTATTCACTCATCGCTACCGGTGCCTGCAGTTTTATTTTCCGTTTCTCTGTTTATTACCTGTGTGGTACATCTTCACGAAAACCATTCCTAACTGATATATTGAGTTTTCCACTCCCAAGACTATTTTGTTTTTGTTTTTTTTGACCAGCTCGCGTTACTTCTAGGTGTCCCTCCACTGGGCCAGTCCACCTAAGACAGTTTCTTCCACCACACGATGCTTAATGCTCGTCGTGGACTCGTGTCACAGCCATCATGATACTGCCGTTTTCTGTACTCCTCAGTCCTTATCCTGACCTTGAAAAGTGTCTCCACAGCTGTCACTACCATTCATCCTCGCTAGTGTTGCACACACCTGCACATCACAGTAAACCTCTGACACATCCCTTTACCTTCATGGGCACATCGTGTTTCTCTTCAACATGTCCTCAAACTGGTACCTACGATATATTTTTAACCCCCAGCACATATAACCTCCTTTCTATATCTATTTTACCAGACTTACTTCCATCAATTATTCGTCCATGCCAGAAATTCCCGTCACTGGATTTAGAATTTTTAACCCTCTAATATATTAAGTATACATCTTTGGTCCTGCCACCGTATTCCTTACAGGCCGTACAGTTAACCCCTCACACTCATCCGAATTCCTTGACTGCATCCTCTTCTTACAGTGACTCACCTGCTGGGATATTACAACCCAGTGCCATTATCATCTCGAACTTTATTATCTTTGAATCCATCCTAGTCGCCTCTTTGAATGCATCCTGATCGCCTCTCTGAATACATACTAATCACATCTGAACACATCCTGATCGCCTCTTTAAGTACATCCAGGTCACCAGTCTGTACCTGCATATTTTCTAGCTTCTTTCACTCACAAAGACAATGAACACACGGCAAGTGATCTAACGCATGCATGTCTTTGTTTTTATCCCCGTCGTCATCCACACAAGTGATGTACTGTACTCAAGTCATCCATATGAATGATATTGGTGTAAAACCTTCACCGGTGCTAGTACCTTCACGAAAAACACTTGCACTGCCCATTTTGTGTGACGTAATGCTTGTGATTGTAAGAAAAACGAAAAGTTCACACACACACACACACACACGCACACACACACGCACACACACACACACACACACACACACACAAAACGGAGAGCGTGTATAGTTAAGAAAATAGCCCAAGAAAAACAATGAATATAATCTTAGGTGGGTTTAGTTTATTAGTACAGTCACCCACAAAAGTTCAGTCGCCTCTGTTGCTGAACCACGAACCCCGAGATTTTGACTAGTGAACCACCCGAAGCAGTGGACACCGATGCATCATTCAGTTCATAAATGCTTTGGATTCACGAGTCTGAATCTCGGGGTTCGTGGTTCAGCAGGAGAGGCAACAGGAATTTTGTTCTTAGTCATTATTTCATCCACACTGCCACGGAAACAACCCATCTCATTTATTTCTTATTTTGCCGGTATTATATTTTCATTCATTCACCTGAGTACTATGAATCTTACCTAAATGCTAACACTATCATGGCCTTCAACTCTCCAGCATGAAGTATAGAAAACCTTACAACCTTATCCCCTGGCGGGTCTTAGTACGGGTGAGGGTAAGCTTTGTAACGTCTTATAAAAAAAAACACTATTGATTCATTTATGGGAAGTAATAATCCTGATGCAAACTTTTTTTTTAAGTGAATTTAAATCATCAGCCATACAGACCTATATGGTACACTGTCCTCCCTCTTGTTATACTCTGATAAATTTCCAGTATGTGGTTTAGTGGAGTAGCTAATAAAATGTTTAGTCTGAGAACTAAAACCAGGATTGTCTTGCCGTAGATTGTATCGAGGATTCTAAGACTTACCGGATTCTCAATTGTACCGAAACTTAAAAAAAAATGTTTCTGACTTAATGCATCCATAACCACCTCCTCGCACCTAGGACTGATGTTGAATATATAATAATAATAATAATAATATTAATAATAATATTAATATTAATAATAATAATAATAATAATAATAATAATAATAATAATAATAATAATAATAATAACAATTGGCGATTTATTGATTGAGCATGGCAGCCGGAAGGCTGAAAATATAGTTACATAATTGGGGAATGGGTCACTTTATTGACAAATAATATACATGTAACATAAGTGATACAAATATGATATATAATAACTAGGTGGGGAGAAGGTTATACTACAGGGCATACTATGGGCTGGATGCGGTTGTGGTGTCAACAGCAATTCGCTGATGAGGGATCTCGGGTGGTAGCAGGAGCTGGTGTTGAGGATGGTGCAGAAAGTTCTCGCCCTGTTGTACCCGCTGAGAATAATGCTTCTTATTTTTGGGTTGGGTTTTGAGTCCTTGGTCTTCTTGGTTTTGGGGACTGAAGACACAGGTCACCCACCTCCGGTAAACAGAGTATTAGGTTTTATATCTAGAAGTGTAAGTAACAAGAGTGCAGAGGTCTTATTGCAACTATATCTTGCGCTAGTTAGGCCGCACCTCGATTATGCTGTTTAGTTCTGGTGCCCCTATTATAGAATGGATATCAATTCACTGGAGTCGGAGCAGCGAAGAATGACGAAAATGATTCCGGGACTTAGAAACCTTCCATATCAAGATTGGTTAAAGAAACTAAACTTGCATTCCCTAGAAAGACGAAGAGTGCGGGGAGATATGATAGAAGTATTTAAGTGGGTGAAAGGAATCAATAAAGGGGATATAGATAAAGTTCTTATAATATCCGAGCAGGATAGGACTCGGAGCAACGGATTCAAGTTGGATAAGTTTAGGTTTAGGAGGGAGATAGGAAGAAACTGGTTCACAAATAGGGTGGTAGACGAGTGGAACAAGCTTAGCAACTTTGTAGTAAGTGCTGGAATGCTGGAGAGTTTTAAAAGGAGGCTAGATAGATTCATGGATGATAGAGAGTGGTAGTAACTCTCGACAGGAGCTGCCATGCACAGGCCAACCGGCCTATTGCAGACTCCTTATTTTCTTATGTTCTTATGTTCTTCGGGGTTTTGTTTGGGTAGACCATTTTTGATATGAGTAATAATGACACTCGGCCCATTTACATTAGGTTAAGATACTGTTACCTTTATTTCACGGCATACTTAGATTTGTCCATTATTCGATGTATCCAAATTAACTTCTTGGATACGGAATACCTAAGGTAGCCTACTGTTTCATATTTTTTTGGGATAACAGCATGAGGAATAACAGACACAGCGTTTGTGTGTTCTTTCTATCACCCATTCTGCTTTTCAGTCTCCTTGCCAGCCCTTCCTTTCTGTGTCTTTGTGAACCAGCGTAGGTTACCACGCCCACTGGGGTGCGTCATGGTCCCTGACGTGTGAATCAACCAGTGGGTGGCATACCAAAATAACCGGAGAGAAAGGGTGCGGAGCCAAACGGAAATTAAGACCGCAATTTGCAGAGACTTCTGAAGAATTTCCGGAGTGGCTTCTACCCCACCATTCTGTTTACGCCGCAAGGGAAGTTGTGGTCGTAAGTTTATTTTTTTTGTCAGAAAACTGATGATGCCAAAACCGGACATGTAGAACACTCACACTAAGATTACATCAACATTTATTTACATAATTAAAGTTAATTTACGACTACATAACAATCGTACGAATAAAAACAGGAAAGCATATAAGCATCTCTCTTTGTGTCTAGGCCACATAGATCTAAATCATCGTTGTCTCCCATACTGTGATAAATCTGAATGTGTGAAACAAGAATTTCTTTAACTACCAAACTAAATTAAAACGTTTGGGAACAGCTGCTTAAAGATAAGTTTAATGTGCAGTTGTTTGTAATTCGTCGCATGTGTTATTTTCATTAAAGTATTAAAATTGCTCTGTATGTATTTATTTATGTATAATAACGAACAAACACGTAGAATGGTAGTTAGTGGGACAAATTAGTGTTTCCCTGAAAATGTTCTCATAGTTGCGTCACATCGACTACTGTACAAAACACAGCATCGATTAATTATCATTTACGGACAACTCCATAGCACCCCGAGAATCATGTCACTGAAAATAATTATTAAGGCAAGTAATGTTTCCTTGGGGTTGTTGAGAATAATGTGCACTTTAAAATATTAATCTCATATACTTTGTTTACCCTAATAGGAGTACAAGACGCTATTAAGTCTAGCCAGTAGCCACAGAACCAAATGAGTCGGATGATCTGACCTTCTGCAAGCAAACACACAATAACTGTTGCTTCATCTGAGAAGATAAAGAGGATGGCTAACAAGAATTTATAAAACAAATATCCCAAGTCAATGATGAGTTATTCCAAACATTTATACTCTCATGGCTGGAGTATGACAACACCACTTTTAAAAGGTTTGTAAAATTGTCCAACTTGGAAATATACAAAAGGCTTTTTCTCGGCTTATTTGTAAAACTTCATTTAACGTCTAACCTGGAAATAACCAAATTAGATTAAACTTTAAAACACAAGGTGCTGTGGACTTTATTTTACTGTATATAGTCGATGAAGTAATTGTGAGTGCTATATTGACGTATATTGTAGTCTTCCCATGTGATTACGTTGGTTTATCAGGTACCAAACAGGGAGGTACTACCGCCAGGGGAGATATTGGAAGCATAATGTGTTGTCTAATGGTAGACCCTGCTGCCATATGGCATCACAAAAATTTGTGATTAAGTCCCAGGTTGGTGATCTGACTTTCTGCCTCATTTACACACAGTTGCAGGGTCTCAATTGTTTCTCTTGCTTTGACAACACAACATACACACAGTACTATATATCGTTTCTCACTCTTGATTTTTCTTTCGTTTTTGTATTTATTTGTGGTTATTATTATTAGTTTTATTATTTTACTTGTATTAGTTTGTTATTAATTTTTATTAATTATTTTTATAATAATAATAGTTATTATTATATTTCGCCAGTCCTGATGTAGGTCAGTGACCTGTGCCCGAGTGGGCTAATCCCCGTAAAAAAAAGGGGGCTAGGTTAGGTTAAGTGGCAACATCGCAGGTGACAGCTAGGAAAGTATTCCATGAAAGTTTATGTCTATCATTACTTACATAAATAGGGACGTCTGATTTCGGCTATTACATGTAATGCCTTACAAAGCCATTTTACCCGAGCAAGAGCTACATTGAGTCAGCAGTCACGGGAAGTTAGACACGTCCTGAATGTAACACAATATAAGAAGTGGTTAACGTCACGATATCGGAACGTTATGTTGACATGTTACAATAGTGACTGTTAAACAACGGATTTGTTTTTAATGTGCCAAGGCCTTCATGTTCCGATATTGCAACATTAAGCTCTGCTTATGATATAATAACGATCATAATATATAGAGAAGAGACATCAACAGAACTAATGATTGTGTAAATACGAACAAGTTGGCCACGGGTCCAGCACCTGGTGGTCCATGATAGTTCAGCATTGTGCTGTTAATGAAATTTAGTATGTGTGCTGATGGTAGGCTTGATGAGCGTTGTTCATGACACTACTGGTTGACACGGGTGTTGCTGGGCAAGAAGAACGAGTATTGACTTGTTAATAAGATTGAGATTGCCAATATGATGAGTTATAGGCCACACATATGCTAAACATTGTAATATTAGAGGGTGGTGGGTGATGCACTGTACATTGTATTCTAGGTTATGGGGGCAGAAGGTTAATGGCGTGAATGTTCTAATTAGTAACATTTGTATATGAGAGGGAGGAGCGTGTGAGTCTATCGAGGACTGACCTAAACAGCGCAAGGTGGCCTGTATTGTGTAGGTGTGAGAGCCTGCAGCCTGTGATTGGGTTTTTGGCTGCATCAAGTGTGCGGGTGCAAGATGACCTGCAGTGTGTGTATGTGAGATAGGCTGCAGTGTGTATTAGGGTGTAAGGCTGCGTCAAAAGTGTGGATGTAAGTAAGGTGACCTGCGGTGGTGTGGATATGAAATAGCCAGCAGTGTGTTTGGATGTTCGGCTGCGTCAAGTGTGTGGGTGTAAGGTGACCTACAGTGTGTGGGCGACTGACAAAGAGACAACACATCGCACAATAACAGCGATAAGGAGGAGAGTCACTAATGCATCACATGATATACGTGTACTGGCCCACACTCAGGTCCTTAACCGTGGTTGATGGCCCCGGGGTTTGCTTCTCTTCTTGGCGCGCTGCCCCAAAAGTTAACGATAGTATAAGTTTAGAAAGTGGAAGTTTATTGAAGGATAACTACGAGAAAGAAATAAGATTTTTGTAATTAAAAGATACCGAGTTGTGATTGAATAGTCTTAATGTAATAGCATTAAAATATTCATTGTGGGGAAAACTAACTCCTTTCCTTTTTATCTCGGTGCGGCCCAGCTGGCTGAGTAATTAGTGCGTTGTTACTGTACACCGCGAGAAGGCCTTCGACGGAGTGAACTGGATGAAGTTCTTGCAGATTATGAAGAAAATCAGAGTAACCTGTTGGAACACGACACAGTGGGGCGACGAGTTTCTGAGACTCGAGGCAGGAACGACCTGAAGTGTTGTACGCTCAGCATGTTTAACGACGAAAGTGATTCATATCTCAAGTAACAGAGAAAGAGTTGGAAAAATCTAATTTGTTATGTTGACTGTGGAACACCTGACAAAAACCATAAGGTTCTCCTGTGTGAATTTTCTTGTTTTAGCTGCTGCTGAAGGCTGGGGGGCAGAGTGCATAAGATGACAGATTGTGGATTCAGGAAACAGGAGATGAAACACGTGAGTCAGTAAAGACGGATTACCAAGAGAGGTGAGGCAGCACCTGATCTGTCCTCTACTTGTATGAAGTATTAACTGAAGTAGAAAGTTTATCCTGTACAGTATTACACGAGGACTTTTTTATAAAGTAAGGATGCGGCTTTAATTATGGCAAGTTTAATGTACGTACAGTAAGTTACCTCACAGTGGGGGTTATGGTGACGGAGGGAGGGGGAGGAGGGGACAGGTGAGGGTGTGATAGTGCTCTGTCCTGGTAGGGGTAATGGTCGTTAAGATGAATCTAATTTATGGGATTGTTTGATTTATTTGTTGAAAATTATCAACATCACCACCACCAGCAGTTGAGGTGATGGTGCAGGAGCTGTGGTGGTGGTGGTGGCGGCGACCTCCGGGGCAGGTGAGGCCAGCCGACCTTGGTGGTGGGGAGGGAGGGAGGGAGGGCCGGACGCGCCAGCAACAGGAAGGTGCCCCACTGACGCCTACTCCCTCACCCCTTCCACTTCACCCACCACCCCTCAACTTGCACCCCGTCAATACTGTGGTCACCGCTGTGAAAGGGCTGGATCTCCATAATGTCGCTACATCCTTCATGAAGAGGCTTGAGCAACCTGGAAGGGTGGAGGATGCAAGCAGGTGGGGATTTAGGGGAGTGGGGAAGGGGGGGTTAGTTCCCAGAACACCAGTAAGGTGACTCTAGATATTTACTCACCTGTCTAGGCCATTAATTCTTAAATGCCTTAAGTGAAAAACTTTATAAGACTCGCATATTCTAATGAGCACATTTTCCTTGAAAGCTGACTGCAGACATTGTCCGATAAATGTATGTGTTATGAGTATGGTGAAGGTGCCTGCTCCCCCGCGCGGCGTGGGGTAGTGCCCACGCGCCTCAGGTAAGAGTGGCTACACCCTGCTGGACTCCGGCTTGATATATATGCTCGCTGCCTCCCAGTAATGAGATGTTATTGTGGCCACAGCTCAGCACCGGGCCCCCCACACCTTGAGTGTCCTCGGCTCCGGTAGGGGTAGGCACGTTGGCCTTGCAAATCCCACGATATCTATGACCAAGGAATTCTGTACAAGTTTTTGGTAGCTGGGTTTATACTGGCTTGGAGAGCAGGAGTGTGGTGGTGATGTCTTGCCTAAGTTGTAGCCACGCCTTCATCTTGCTCGGGTAAGTTTGCTTTCTAGGAAAGCGATATTTCATTCGTTTTCAACAAGGGAAATTAGGATCTGAGTAAGATAGAAATAATGCATTTTAAAACAGATATTTTATACTAAACGCGCACATCCACATAACATACTGTGCTAACCTCCACTCGGCACTCAGAAACAGAACATTACTCAGAGGATAATATCTGAAAATAACATGTTTTAGAATAAAAACGATTCAAACCGTTAATCATGGTTCGACAACAACAATCAAGTCATAACATAGAAAGACGATACATCAATCAGTGTTATTAGTTGTCATTATCAGATACACATAGGCTAGTATTATAAACTTGTTTTGCTCTTTAAAGATGTCACGATTATTTAAAGCGTCTTCATCATAATTCTTTCATCGTCGCTTTTTTTCCTTGACTGAAAACTTCATAGAGATATAATGTTATACGTCCTGTGAGTAGTATTTGTGAATTTAGGTGTTTTACGAAACTTGGATCCTTTGTGTGAGGTGATCGTCTGTCAGGGTCTTTGTATTAACTGCGAGAATTCTGATAAGCTGTTCAGAAGGGCTTTCGGGTTGTGGCGGCCGAATGGATACAACACTCCATGCCTTTTGGTGTTATTTTTTTTATATCACAAGCCTTCCGCCTCGTATATTTCGTTTGTTTATCAATAACTCGGTGAAGGTAGATGACAGGTGAAGTGATTTTCAGAACAGAGGCTAAAAACAAAACTTGTATCCTTCCTGCCCGTAGAGTTTCGTTAGGCCTAAGAGACTCTACTTTCACGTAACCTTTGTATGTTAGCCATGTTACATCGTGTCGGTCAGTATCCAACACATCTCAGATCCAACAGAACAACCCCAGCGCCAGTACTGTGTAGGATACCACTAAAAACTATAAACCATTTTTCCTGAACCCTTGTGTACGATCGTCTACCGTTAGCCAAATAAAGTATTAAAAGTGGTGTCCCCGTAGTGAAGTGGTTAATATTTTATTACAATACACTTATGGTAGCTACTGTTTCGTGGGTAGAGATCATGTGTTTGTACAAAATGTTGTATGTTGTAGGAACGGGGCTTAGTATCCATGATAATTGAAACACCTAATATTAAAACAACTTAGTTTATTGATGAAGCGATGGTTGAGTGGTCATTGTAGGGAAACATAGGAAATAATTATATTGTCTATCTAAGGGTCAGTATTTAAGGAGTTAGGTAATCACAGGTAGATGAATCAGTTATATAACTTGAAAGTGAAAGTAGGTCGTATAAGCCTGGTGATCCGTTAGGAGAAGTATGGACACAACTCACTGAATACTAAGCTTTACGATACACTAAGGGGGAAGGCGCTCGAGTATAGCGCCTCCTCCCTTTACTAACTGTTACATTAGTAGGTGTCCATCCACAGCTGCGTGAACTCAGGGTGCCTTGAGCGTGAATCAGCTAACCTTAGGAATAATAATATGTAAACACTGTGTCCCCTTTTATGTAACATACTATAGGCTAAAGTGACAACATGTTAAATTAAACCCACATTAAAAGATGCAAATTTGTAGAAAGAAAGGTGTGGTATAGTGATGTCTAGAAGCACAGTTAAGTTCCCCAGGATATGTGATACTCTTTTATTTACCGAATCCTGAGACGAGAAGTTAGTGGTGCAGATGTCAAGTTAGAGTGGTTGTGGTTGGATTTTCTCACGTGGGTGATTACGTTGTTGATTCCCATGATGTGACGCGCGACAGAGTACCACAAAACACGCCACTATATTTGTTTTAGCCACATGTGTAGGATAACTGTGTGGTGACACTTGAGAGGAATAGGATTGTTTGTAGTGACGTCTGATGTGATGACGCCTTTGTGTTTAGTGAGGCTCAATAGAGTAATAGGGTGCTGGAGGACCAACAGATCTCCCAGGGGAGATGTGAGAAGTGTGTGTGTGTGTGTGTGTGTGTGTGGCGTGGAGTAGAGGTAGCGAGTGGAGGCTGGGTCCTATCTGACCGTGATAAGGGACCACCGGCACACAGGGATTCTGCCTTACTACCGCTGTACCGTGTCTTCTGTTTTATGCAGAGAAGCTTTTTTTTCCACCTTGACACATTGATCATGTATGTTTTGGGATAGCGGATTGAAGAGTTTTATGTTCGATTACCTGACGTAGGACATTTCTTCAGGTATATACATATTTTAGATAAGTACTCGTATTTTATTTGTTATTTATATGTGATTTTGTGTTTGTTTCAGAGTACGAGATGGCGCGGCGGTTCGACGCCGAAGACTCAGAGGGCTCCAACGACGCCATGTCACCCTCCAAGGCCAAGGGTGAGTTTTTATGTTGTTGTTCACAAGGCCTACTTCCATTACCGATCTGTAAGGGATGACCCAGGGCGTCTAGTGAACGACCTGCTACCTCAGAGCTAGTTTAAGGCGCTCTGAAGATAACTGAGGTCACCCCATTCAGAGTTTATTTGGGGAAACACAACACAAGACTGTACAGTGTTTAGCGTGTAATGTGGGAGAAATAATCTTATCCTCTCCTCTCACCACCTGTCTTCCTGTCCTTCTCTTGCCTCTACCGGGTAAAATTATTGGAGCAGTGGCCTGACATGGTTGTGTCGACTCCTTGAGATGTGTATTTTATTATTTTTTTTATTTACTTAATGTACATAATGGTGTTGGGACAAGTTCAGCAGCACGTAGTAGATGAGGCAGGTGGAGGAGGGGCAGGAGAGGGGGTAACAATTGGCTCTTCCCGGCACTGGTCTCACGCCGGGAAGTGCCACTGGACATAATGAGGTCCTACCCTTACCCCCATCCGCCGGACGGCCGCTTCCTCGATCCATGAGTTGCTTTCCGGCCGCGCTATACCTGCTGTGCACCCCCCCCTCCCCCCTTGCCCATGTTATGTAATGTCCCCCTGCCTATTTTGTATGATGACCTCCTGCCCATGTTCTGTTGTGGACTTCTACCCATGTTGTGGCCTCCTGCCCATGTTGTGATATGTCCCACCGCCTGCCCACGTTATCTCCTCCCCACTGTCATACTGCTTCATCTCTCCCTTCTCCCGACACCCCCCCTACCTACCCTGTCCTCACATCAACCCCCCATCTACCCCCTACCCCCATACCCCACCCCCCTACCCCCCCACATACCCCCCTCCTCCTGTGTGGTCCACCTGGCGTCTGAATTAGTTGTCGGACAACATTCAGTAAGGGCATATAACCAACCGTCAATGAGAAAATTGTTCGCCAACCAAGTTTGTTGAGTCAAGTAACACCAACACTTTATAGTAATGGTAACCCTTCACGCGTCTTTTGTTTGAGTGTTGACAGCGCATCCCTGATTTTTATTACGGCTTGAGTGTTGACGGGGATGTGTTATTATGGTTTGGTTGTTGACGGGGTGTGTTAAGGCTTAGGTGTTGACGGGGTTGTGCTCTGCAGCGCTTGTCAGTCGTGGTGGGTATGGGTGAATGTCCTGAGATGTTTATAAAGCAAGAGGGGAGTGATAATCATGTACCAAGGCGAACAACACTCTCCTAATCTGTCCTTCACTCTACTTCCCTTCCCGTCTCTGTCCTCTCCTTTCCTTGTAGTTTTTCTCCTTTCTTTCCTCTTGTCCTTTTTTAATCATCTTTGTGTACTGCCTCCCTTTTTCTTGTCAGGCTCCTTAGATAGTAAATAGAGGTTTCAAAACATTGCGACAGGTGTGATGAGCGTGACCTTTGATCCTGTGACACACGACAGGTATGGACCATGACCTTGTGACCCGACAGGTATGGACCATGACCCTGTGACCCGACAGGTATGGACCATGACCTTGTGACACACGACAGGTATGGACCATGACACTCTGACCCGACAGGTATGGACTATGACCCTGTGACCCGACAGGTATGGACCATGACCCTGTGACACACGACAGGTATGGACCATGACCTTGTGACCCGACAGGGTCATACAACGTCTCTGGAGATATAATTGATTAGAAGTTTCTTGCGCATGCACACGCGGCAGTAGCTAATGTAATTTCATGATAGTCAGGACAGGAAGTGTTCTGCTGTCGACTAACGTAACTTATTATTGTTTTAATGCAATATTAACTGTCAGGAACTGTGTAGAACCAAGTGGGAATCAATACGTTTGGGTAAAGCTTTGTAGGGCTGAATGGGATGTTTTGTGTGTAAGATTAGTGTTTGTAGGCAGGATTCGTGCAGAACAGAGGTCAGTACTAATGCTGTTGTATCCTCCCACCACCAGGTGTCGTTCGCCCTATTTATTGGTGCATTTCTGCAGTTTTCGCAGTCATCTGCTTGCAGTTTGTGAACAGCAATTTGATTATCTAAGGTCAAATGGACACCAGTCCTACTAGGCCCCAACTTAACCTAAGGTTATAGCTTTGCAAGTCCCAGTAGTTAGGTTAGGTTGTCTTCCAGAACTTAAGTTCGTTTCGCTAGTCACCCATTTCAGTTTGATCCGCCAAACATTGTGCGTTAATTTATAAGAATACTGACATTCTCTGTAAAGATGCATAATTATATCAGCCTGGATTTGGGAGTGAACCTCCTGCAGTGTAGTGGCGGGAGGCTGGCAGTGTGTGTTACCGTCTACCCTTCTATACTCGGGTAATGTCTGTGTTACCAAGCTCATAATAATTTGTTCATCCTTCTTACGTCTTACAAAAGGAAGTGAGTAATATTGATGATATATAATGATAATAATAAATGTAGTAGACAGTAATAATAATAGTGACAATAAATATTTATGTCTTTGCACCTCCAGGGTCCATAAGACTTCATTTTGTGTCACCAAATAATTGTATGAGGTGTGAATGATATGTGTACACGTTAGAGACGAAGAATGCATTTTTTTAGCGTACAAGTTAAGAGATGATAGGTACCCTTCACTAGTGCGTTTACAGGGACTCGACAGGTTTTGTGCAGTGTGCAGAGCTGTGTTTGTTTACATTCGACAGAAGGAAACTCGCAGTAGTAAACATACGATGGAATCAAATTAAAACATTAAAACAATATCTCAATGTAATGATTTGTGGAATGTTTATATGACGAGCCCATGTAAACGCACTAGTGAAGGGGACTACATGTGCAGTGTACATGCTATGAATAATGTGCCTGTACTCAAGTTTCTGAATTCTGTTATGATCATGAATGAGTGTGTGAGTGTATGAGTGTATGTGTACAAGGTGTATGAGTGTGTGTATAAGGTGTATGAGTGTGTGTATAAGGTGTAGGTCGGGGAGTTCCCTTGGCTGGGTGGATGAGGGTGTACGTGTCCTTGACGGTGGCGTGAGTGGGCCGCCCTAACACAGGGTCCCGCTTCTTCTGCCTCCGTCACGCCCTCGCTCCCTTAAACGATGTCTCCCTTAAATTATTGCACCTCCTCCCCATAACACCCACAACCTCTTGAAAGTACAAGTGCCGTTCTCCTCTCCATTACCACCATCATCCCTATCTCCAGCACCACCACCATCCCCACCAACATCACCTTTATCTCCACCAATCACCATTACCAACCACCACTACCGCCATCTCTCAACCAACTAGCCACTATCCCCACCACCATCACCCCCCAACCAACCACTATCCCCACCATTCACCACAATCAGTATGCCAATATTTCTTACACGTGAGAGAAAAAGAAGTTTTAAAATATAGTTACACCTTTTGCAGTCCGTCTAAAAAAAATCATAAAATATTTGAGTCTCCCCCCAACCCAAATACAGAAGAACAAAAATCAAGGCACAGTTGCTTTGATATCCTCCCCTCTCACCCGCCCAGCAGATTTTACGGGTGACCCAACTGACCCATACATGGTCAGTACGTTCTCCCCACCCCCTCCCCTTCTTCTCCTCTTCCTTCTACCTTCCCCCACATCAGCACCAACACAACAGTATCATGAAACAAGAACCACTTAAAAGAATGAATATCTACACTAACACCAGGCTCCAGGAAATAAAGAACCAGACTTAGGAACACACTCTATGTTAACAGTTTCAGTCTTTTTTTTTTCTCGGGTGACGTTGCGCGCCTTTTCCCACACGGTCAAAATAATAATCGCTGATGATCGTTACCTTGTATAGGCTAGGATCTTGCTGTCAGACTTTTCTTTCTTTTTTTCTGTTAGTTGATTCAGTTAACTTGATTACTGTGGTACAATTACCTGTCCGAGAAATTTTGAGATTTTAGCCAAACTGAGAAAAAGACTCGCCGACACATGGTTGACCAAGGAGTTCAAGCGTGGGCGCGAGAGCCTTGATGGACACCAGGTTAGGACGACCTTCGGATATTACCGACGAGGAAACGCTAGTCCAAGCCAACAACTTCATTATGGCAGACAGGCTAACCAGAGTTGATGAAATAAGCACCGACGTTGATATTTCAAGTGTTGTGGTCATCATCCATGAAATGGTCGAAGCCTATCCAACCAACCTTCTTTCCTGTCCAGTGACGATAGATGAGACCTGGACTCACTATAGCCTCTATAGTGAATTCAGGTCTCATCTATACGCTCCTGTCATGTGTCGGTGAGTCTTTTGCTGTGGAAGCTTCATGTGTTGGGAATTTGTGACATTTCTCAGCTTGGCCAAAATCTCAAAATTTCTCGGACAGGAAATTGTATCACATTAACCAAGTTAACAGAATCAACATACCCCCAAAAAATCTTTCAATGTTAAAAGAATTATGTGTGGGATTACGAATTATGGAATGGCAGGCAAAGGGAGATTAGTGTATATGGCCAACAGACTTCATAAGGTGAAAAACTTTTTATCAAACTTAAAGCAATGATTGATTTCTAAAATTCTTTAAACTTTAAACTCCCACAATTCCAAGGATTGGTTGTGTTACTTCACTTCTTAACCTACTTGGTTATCAGTGAATAGTAGCGAGTAGATGGGTGTATGCAAGCCAAGGGTGCAGTGTGACTCCGTGGCGTGAACTGGCCGGGAATGCAGGAGAGTCTGGGGTGGAAGAAGGATCCAAGGCACCTGATAAGGGGTAACGCAGGGCCGGCACGGGAAGGTCCTCCCTGCGGCTCGGGAGAATTTTCTCTGCGAGTCAGTCTGTCAGGAAAGGCGATCATAGAGCTGTGTTCCTCGAGTCCGTAAAACATTTTCGTAATGCTTTTAAAAGTTTCAGTAAAGGTTGGAAGCCGCACGGAGGAATTACAAATATTAAGAGTAGATTTAATTTAAGCCAGTGGCACTTGCATGAGCGGAAAGACAGGCAGGAGCGCGAGTGAGCTTGGCATCTTCCATGCGACGTGATCTTCATTATTTATGTAAATCCTTGAGCACCGCCGCAC